GGCAACTGACTTACAACAAGGATGTCAAGGTAATTGACTCATTAATTCAATGCACAAATGGTCTGGAACCACTGGATATCTGAATGCCAAAAAAAAGAGGAAAGAGAAAGAAAGAAAGAAAGAAAGAAAGAAAGAAAGAAAGAAAGAAAGAAAGAAAGAAAGAAAGGAAGGAAGGAAGGAAGGAAGCAAGGAAGGAAGGAAGGAAGGAAGGAAGGAAGGAAGGAAAGAAGGAAGAAAGAATCCTTACCTCATACCATATGCAAAAATTAACTCAAACTGGATCACAGATCTAAATGTAAGAGCTAAAAACCATCAAAGTCTTGAAGAAAATATGGTATCTTGAGCAAAGATTTCTTAAATAGAACTGAAAAGTCACAGATTATAAAAAATACTGTTAGACTTCAAAATAAATTTTGCTCTTTGACGCTGCTGAGAAAATGAACAGAGAGGCTACAGATTGTATGGTATATAAAGAACAAAGGACTTGTATCCAGAATATATTAATAACTTTACAAGTAGAAAATAAACAATCCAAATAAGTATGGATAAAATATTTGAATAGACACTTCACTAAATGAGATCTATGGGTGGCAACCAAATACATAAAAAGATGTTCAGCACCATTACTCATTAAGAAAATGCAAATTAAAACTATAAATTACCATTACACACCTATGAGGATAGCTAAAATTAAGATTAGCAATACCAAGTGTTGGTAAATATATGGAGTAATGGGAACTTTCATACACTGCTGATGGGAATATAAAAAGGTACAACAACATAAAAAATACTTTAGCAGATCCTTAAAATGTTGAACATGTACTTATGTTCAGATGACCCAGTATTATCACTCCTATGTATTTACCTAAGAAAAATTAAATCATATGTCCACCTAAAGATTTGTATGCACATGTTCCTAGAAGCTTTATTTGCAATAGCCAAAAACTAGAAACAACTTATCATCTATCAACGGCGAGTAGGTCTGTGGAATATCCATATAATGAAATACTTCTCAGAGTAAATGGAGTAACTAATGATACACATACCAGCATGGATGTGTCTCAAAACTTTATGCTAAGTGGAAGAGCCACATAATGAAAAACTGTATACTGTCTGTATACCGTACGAATTCATTTATATGAAATTCCAGAAAAGATAAAACTATAGTGATAAAAACAGATCAGCTGTTGTCAAGAGCCAGAGGGTGGAAAAACGGACACAGGTTCACTGGATGATGGAAATGTTACATGTGATGATCATGGTGGCATTACATGACAGAACACATGTGTTAAAACTCATCTAGTCATCCCTTAACAGTGATGACTGCTATTGTATGAAATTATATCTCAATAAAGCTGATAAGAAAAGTAAAAATGTGCAAGATCTACAGAGAGAAAACCAAAACTCTGAAGAACATAGAACATGATCTGAATAAATGTGTGATTCATTCTCCTTCAATTCTACTCAAATTAATCTGCAAGTTTTGTGTATTTCAATACACAATGTATTTTCAATCAGGGTCCCAAAAGAATTGGGGAGGGATTGGGGGAAAATCTTGACTGATTTTAAAACTCATCCACACTGAGCAAGCCAGGATTACTGATCTTTTGACATCTCTTTTCTGATGCTCCTCCCTGCACTTTTTACTTTTTTCCTTGCAAAAGAAAATATAATGAGTAGGAATAGCAAAATATACTTGAGAGCTTTGTAATTAAACCAATTTGCTATGCATTAGAAATGAACAGACCAATGTTTCAGAGTAGAGTGCGGGCACAGATCCACAAATACAGGGAAAGGCACAGAAAAAAAGGGCATTTCAAGTCATGAGGAAAAACGCATGGGGCTTATTTCTTGAAATTTTTGTCTCACATAAAACACAAAAAGGTGAATTATTATAGATTTAAACATTAAAAAGCATTAAGTACTTCAGATATTCTGGAAGCAAATATAAATATTTTTAAAATTTTGAGGTGGGAAATATCCTTGTAAATTTTAAGTATAACTTAGAAAACGTAAAGAAAAAGCCTGACAGGGTTTACTACATAAAATTTTCCAACTTCCTTAGGACAAAAGAGAATACAAACCAGAAAGAATATATATATATATATATATATATATAGTCCTATGCTTGTTCAGCATGGTTAAAAAAAAGAAAAAAGAAAAGGCCAGCAGGATTGTATCACTAGCAACGCACATGTACGAGGCGTTTTTAGGAGAAAAACAAATGACCAATAATAACTGAAAAGTGCTCAACCACAACAAAAGTGAAAGCAATGCAAATTAAAACAGGAGTGAAACAAAAATTTTTACAGGTAAAATGTTAAATGTTTGTAGTGTCTTGTGCATGAAATACTGACTTAAAGTAAAGAAAATCTAACAGTATGAATAGATTTATTTAGATTTACGAGAAAATTCTAAATGTGTTAATACATGCATAATGATGTAATAGATGGTGATTAACATAACATAATAATAAAAAATAAATAAATAAATACATGCATAGAAAAAAATCTGAGATCATATATTTTTTAAATATTTTTTTAAAGATTTTGTTTATTTGAGAGAGAGAGAATGAGAGAGAGCACAAGAGGGAAGAGGGTCAGAGGGAGAAGCAGACTCCCTGCTGAGCAGGGAGCCCAATGTGGGACTCGATCCCGGGACTCCAGGATCATGACCTGAGCCGAAGGCAGTCGCTTAACCACCTGAGCCACCCAGGTGCCCTATTTTTTTAATATTTAAAGATTAACTTATTATTTGAGAAAGAGAGAGTACGAGCACACATGCACATGCACATTGGGGGAGGGGCAGAGAGAGAGGGAGAGAGAAACCCAAGCAGACCCTGAGCTAAGCGTGGAGCCTGACCCAGGGCTTGAACCCACAACCCCAAGATTACTACCCCAGCCAAAACCAAGAGTCCAATGCTCAAGCGATTGCACCACCCAGGCGCCCCAACAAAGATCATATATTTAAAAATAAATAAATAAAATAAAGATGTGAGCATTTTGAAAAATATGTAAATTACTATTTTAAAAGACATAATCTAACCTATAAAGGTGAAATATTCCTTTTCTAATTTTTTTGGTCTTATGAAGAGTGTTAGTTCTCTATTGCTGCTGCAATAAATTGCCATAAACTTTGTGCCTTAAAACAATGCAAATTTATTATCTTAGAGTTCTGAAGGTCAGAAATCTGAGACAAGTCTCATAGGGCTAAAATCAAGGTGTCTACAGGGCTTTGTTCCTTACTGGAGGCTATAGGGGATAATCCATTTCTTTACTTTCTCCAGTTTCTGAATGCTGCCCACATTTCTTGGCTCACTGCCCCCTGCCTTCATCTTCAAACCAGCTACACTGCCTATCTCTGATCATTATCCCATCATCACATATCCCTTTCTCCACAACAGGGAAGGGCTTCTGATTTTAAGGACCCGTGTGACTTAATTGGGGCCACCCACATTATCCAGGACAATCTCTCCATCTCAAGATCCTTAGCTTAATCACACCCTCAAAGTCTCTTGCCATGTCAGGTAACGGGTTACAGGTTCCAGAACTCAGGACATGGACGTCCCTGTTTCTGTTGATAGAAGATCCGTAGGGATCATAGCACTCTCGTGTATGTCATGGGGATCTCCTCCATTAGACAGACTCTTCCACAGATCATTCCTATACAATCATGTACCTAGTTTTTACTTTTGCTGACATGGCCGAGGGGATCTGTGAGTCACATCCTTAATCCCTTCAAAGAACCTTTTCCTTGGGACTGAATACTCTGACCGTTCACTACTTCTGGCGCATTAGCAGGAAGTTGTAGGGCCATACTCTTGGTTATCACTACAGACCACACTTTTTCCAACAGTGAAGCTCCAAATTTTAGCACCTTTTGCAGCTTGGAAAGGCTGAGAATTTTTCAAATCATCAAGTCCAGATTCCTTTTGCTAAGCAGGTCTTCCTTCAATTTACCTCTTTCCCCTTACATTTTACTATGAGCAGCAAAATGAAACCAGTTGCACCTTTATCACTTTGCTTAGAAACTTCCTTAGCTATTTATCCAGAAAGTTCGGCCTTCCACATTATGGGCAGGACAGAATTTTGCTAAGTTTTCTGACACTATATACTAAGGATCTCCTTTTCTCTAGTTTCCAAAACCACGTTCCTTGTTTCCTTCAGAGCCCTCACCAGTGACACCTCGAACTTCCATATTTCTACCGAGTCTTCATGATGATTTGCATGTCCTCTAAGACAAAATAGGCTTTCTCTACCATGTTCTGCACGTCCAAGCTTTCTCTAGCAGAGTCTTCAGCCCCGTATTTCTAACAGACTGCTCAAGGCAATCTAGACATTTTCTATCATTCCACTTAAAATACTTCCCTCTGCCCACTGTCCAATTCCAAAGCCATTTCCACATTTTTAGGAATGCGTTACAGCTGCACTACACCTCCAATAACCAAAGTCTGGATTACTCTTCTATTGCTGCCATAACAAATGACTACAAATTTAGTGGCTTAAAACAACATAAATTTATTATCTCACAGTTGTGTTGATTAGAAGTGACAAGAGTCAGTCGGCCTTCATTCCTTCCTGGAGGCTGTACAGTAGAATACATTTCCTTGACTTTCCCAGCTTCCAGAGGTCATCCATATTCCTGGTTCCTTTCCTCCATCTTCCTCCTCCTCTAGCCAGCAATATGGTGTCTCTCTGTGACTATCTTCCATGGCCACCCCCCTCTCTCCACAGCCAGGAACAGCTACTCCATTATATTGGGTGTAGCCAGATAATCCAGAACAATATCCTCTTCCAAGGTCCCTACCTTAATTACATCTGTAAAATCTCTTTTGCTATGTAAGATAATAGAGAATACAAATGCCAGAGATTAAGATATGGACATCTTTGGGCAGACATCATATTATTATCACCTATTATTGTAAATAGTAATAATGCAACTCTAGCATTGAAAACCTCATTTTTAACATCGAAAGCAAGCAAAATCTTAGACGCTCTTACTTCTCTTCCTCTTGAGTTTTCCTGAAGAAGAGTTGTTTCCAAGATCCACAGTATCTGGAGAGTAACAGGTGAGGGTGAGGAAACAGAAGTTAATAAATAAAAGTTACAAATTTTAGGATTATTCATACTGCAGAAGACTTGAATTTATAAAGATGTTTGGATTATCATTTCTCTCTTCCCTCTAAAGGGACTAAAAACCTACTGAATTGAGAACTAGGAGTCCAGGACGGGCTCTGGGTCTTCCTTTGTTTCTCAACAGTACTTGGAAAAACACTGAAATACCTGTGTACTTTAGTTTACTCAGGGATATTTGTCTAGGTCTTGAGATTTTTTGTGAGGATTAAATAAAATCTTAGGGGCAAACATTTACAGGAAATCACTAGATCAACCAGCCACACGCTAGAGGGCATCCATCAAAAATATGTGCTAGATTAAGAATAGTCTTTCCTCCTGACAAGCAAGTGGCATCACTAGTTGTCTTTTGAGATTTTTCTAAGGTTGTGACAAAATGACACTGTTCTCTACTAGCAGAACTATGCTTGGCTTTCTCGGGCTCCACAGAAGATTGGGTGTGACAGGGACGGAAATCACCGTATAAATACAAGACTTTATTATTAGTAGACTAATGTAGTAAACAAGATACTGCCATCTTTAAGAGCGTATTTCTACTACATCACTCATGTATAATCAGCAGGGCCCATCCTGTTGAACGCAACTTTGTAATGATCTCTTGCCTCGTTACTATTCCCAAAGGGGTCAGGTCAGGCAAAGCAGGGAACAGGATACTGGGATGGACGGGACCACCTGCCACCACCCTGCCCGTAGAGTCACCCCCATCCCTCGACCCTCCGGTAGCCTTACCCATACTTGCAGTACTTGCTTCTGGACCTTCTGGCACATCTTTCGAGAAGCACATAACACAGGAACACTTCTTATTTCCATATGCTGGGAGCTCAGCTCCTGGGCCAGAATTGTGATGTATGAAGACTTTCGTTTATATCCCAGGGATCCCCTTTTCTGTACCCTTCTTGATCTCCCCTTCTCTGCTTCTTCCTCGGAAATCTTCCATTGACCCTCCCCATCTCTGGCCTTTCCTTTAAGTCCCCCCTTTTCCTCCCTTGTCTTTTTCTCTTTATCAGCCTCTGTTTCTGTTTTTCATTATTCTTTAGGTCATAATTACCTTGTCCATCATAGGGTAGTAGGCTGGAAATAAGCTCTTCTGATTCTTCCTCTCTATTCATTTGGAGAGTTTCTAGTTCGCCAGCTACTAAAGAGAAGCAAGAAAATTACAGTCCGTGGATCCTGAGAGTGATGAGGGAAGAGTTTCTGGTGCTCTCACGCTGCACCCTGATATTCTGAGCTAAAATGAACTGCCTTCTGGGAGAAGACTACACCTGCTCTAATAATCACAACCTAGAGCTGCCAAAGCCATGCTTTCCCCATCTTTTGTACCTCATTCTGCTTTCTTTACGCCTACTTTTCTACCTGTAGCCCTAAGAATAAAGTAAAAAGATCTTATCCTTCCAGGAAAAACCAACTGTTCTTTGAAAGTTGTAACAAGTAATTACCAGAACGGTTTTTAAACTCATCCCAATTGGCCCATCACTACTTACATCACTAACCACATTTAAAGCCAGCCAATCAGTGACAGCCTTACACTTCTGAAAATCAGCCAATCCGCCACACTCCAGAAAGCCTGTGTCTATGACTAAATGATAACCTGGTTATAAACACTCCCCGGGTCTGAAAGTCTGCAGTTCCTGAACTACAAGCTTCCTAAAACTCTACCTAAAAGCAATTTCCTTTTTAAAAGAACCATGCCCGGTAAATACCATACCTCCTTCCACCATGCACCTTGCTTAGCACGCAATAAATCCTTCCTTTAGCTTCAGAGATGGCATGATGGTCTATCCCTCCAAAAATGGATTTCCCACCAACCCATCTTGAAGACTCTTGTTTAGCAATGTCTTGTGGGATCCTTGGGCCAATAGGTATAAATCCACTGCCTCTTTTGCCCAACTCAGATTGTCTTCTTGATCAATCCATCTCAACAACGACTTGAACTCTGACTTGTTTCACTGAGTTCTGATTTCTGAATTAATCTTATTACTTAAAGATGTATATGCAATTAGACACAAAGTAGTTAGACATTTTGGTTTGGAGGTGCAGCATTTAACAAATATTCTGTTAATATTTTTTATTCTGCTATGGTTTCATTTACTCTTACTTTTGTCTATTTTTCAAAAGTTTTGTCTTATGTGTTTGATTGCTCCTGATTTTCTTGTGCTTCTTGAATGTTAGAAGAAAGTGATCCAAAGCAAATAACCCTGGAGGGTTAAATGGTTTAAGGGAGGCATAACCCTGATAAGTCCCCTATCCAAAACTAATGAATGGATGTGGGTCCATTAAATAGTAGTTAATTTGTGCAAAGATATTTGGTCACCCTTGGTCTTGAATCCCTCACCAAAACCTTTTGTCAATTTGTGAAACAAAATCATTTTGTTTAGCACATAATCTGAGGTCAACTACTATCAGGTAATCAATCATATGTTCCCACTGTAGTCTCTGCTCGGTGGATGAACCCATTACTCCATTCACTTGCAGGACACCATTCACACTAAGGACTGCATATGGTGGCCTCATTGCTATTTGTCATGATTGTGTCTTGGCCAAAGCTACAGTCTCCCACTGACAGAACTCCACTTCCTCTTTGTACTCTCAGAAACATTCTTGCACTTGTCTTAATAAATGGCAAAATTTCACCAAAGGTAACTTTGGGTTTCAAAGGGGAACTCTGGACATGTCAAAAGTAAACAGGGCTTTTAATAGTATTTCTGAAAGAGAGAGAAAGATGACCAAAAGTTCCCATGTCCCAACCAGTAACTGCTACTTTCAGACCATCATCTAACAGTTTCTTTTCTTTTTAAAAAGTCCCTATAAATTTAATAGGAAGGACCTATTCTGTAAATGAAACTACCAGATTAAGGGGCCCCTGGGTGGCTAAGTCGGTTAAGCATCTGCCTTTGGCTCAGGTCATGATCTCTGGGTCCCGGGATCAAGCGCCATGTCATGCTCCCTGCTCAGCAGTGAGTCTGCTTCTCCCTCTCTCTCTCTGCCCTTGCCCTCTGCTCCTGTGCTCTCTCTTTCTCTCCAATAAATAAATAAAATCTTTTTTTTTTAAAAAGAAACTACCAGATTAAATGTACTAAAGGAAGAATAACTTTAGAATTCTTAGAAAATTCTCCTACATATAATCAATTTATAATTGATCTCAACATTAGTATGTCTACACTATGCATGACTCAAGATCTGCAGGCGATCAACAAAGTAGGTATATCTCACTTCTCTGTAGTGCCTAACCTAATTACTATAACTCTTTTCTAAAGCCAGATTCTTTTCTTTAATATATTTATGCTCAGCTTTGTTTAATGTCCCATTTGATAAGAATAGCTTATATTATTTACTTGGGAAAGTCAATGGCTTGTCTGGACTGTTATTTTCTAGAAATATACTTAAGTCTCATTGTAGTAGGCAGAATTCTCAATGTCCACTCAAGATTTCCTTCCCTGACCCCAGGGACTGCAAATATCATGAGATATCACCTCCATTTTTAGGCAGAGTTGATGTTAAGAAAAAGAGGCTATCAACATGAGAGATAACCAATGCTGGTGAGGATGTGGGAAAAAGGAAGCCTTGGTGCACTGTTGGTAGGATGTGCACCAAGGCTTCAATGTGGTATAGCCACTATGAAGAACAGTATGAGGGTTCCTCAAAAAAACTAAAAATTAGAACCATCATATCATCCAGCCACTCCACTTCTGGGTATATATCCAATGGAAACAAAATAAGTATGTCAAGGAGGTATCTGTGCCCCCATGCTCATTTCAACATTGTTTACAATAGCCAAGACATGGAAACAATCTAAGTGTCCATCAACAGATGAATGGATAAAGCAAATGTGGTAGACAGATATATATAACACACAAAATGGAATACTATTCATCCATTAAAAAAAAAAAAAAAGGAAATCCTGCCATTTGCCCTCCCTTACCTGATCCACTTTCTGGTGGCAAGCTCAAGTCTTCCTGGGGTTCTTCTTCATCACACATTTCTAAACAGGCACTGCTACCTTCTGCTGAACAGAATAAAATCCCTTAGTGGATCCAGCATATGACCAATAGAAATCATAGCAGGAAACCCACCCTGACAACCAAGGTGGCTCAAGTATCTTCCAGGTGGGAATGTCCCTGCCCTCAGACCCTCCTGCCTTAGAGTTCACCTGACCTGGGAGTGAACATGGCTCGTGTCACTATCACCAGAGGCTGAGAATGGTCCACCTATCCCCCTCCCTTCCCATACACCTAATTCTCTCTCTTTTTGAACCTTTTCACTTGGCTTCACACATTTCTTCCGTATGTATAAGTGAAGGGGAGCAGCGGAGGAGGGGAGAAGGGAGGGGAAATTTTCCTCCTTGTAGACAGAAAAAACAGATTTGGTTAATGAAATGGGAACTGAAATCATACTTACCTTCCGCATCACATAGCAGTTGCCTGAGCACCTCCTCTGGTTCTTCTTCACTGATCATTTGGGGAGCTTCAGGATCACAGGACCCTGAAAGGAAATAAGGAAGTGAGCTGAGCCAGGATGTTCAGAGCACAGGTGAGCTGCCCTTCCGGAAAAGGGACATCTAGTCGAAGGACCCCACCTGAGATTCAACCAAGCCCTCCTTCCCCTGACTCTCCTACTCTCTGCTTCTCCATTTCCTTCCCATAGATCTGTCTCCAGACATTTCCGCATCTGCACTAGGAGAATATTTGTGCATCCTTGATTTTGTGGACTCCACTCCCCCGACTTCTCTTGTCTCTTTACTTTTCTATTTTTTTTCCCTCAATGGTGATCTTCATCTTTTCTTTCCCACTTATTCCTCCTAGCTCTGTTCTTCCAGGTCCCTCCAATCCCTAAAAGAGAGTGCATTCCTTCTGTCACTGTCTCTCTTGATTTCTTCCCCTTCCTCTACTGCGAAGTGGAAGTTTCTCTTTAGGCCCTGTTCTGTTCCCTCTGGGAGCCACAGATCGCCCCTTGGACTCTTCTTACATGTGACCACGTTGACCCCTGCTAGCCTCACACAGCCACTATCTGCAATGAAATGTTCAGGGCATGGGTCTCTGCTCTTCCTCCTACTTGATCTTAGGGAAAAACAAGTATCCTTCATCTATGCTTCCGTGTCTTTCTTTAAGGAGGAATAACAGCAGTTTCCCTAGCTAAGTCCTAAAGATTTATGAGGAAATCTCACTTACCAAAGTACTTTGAAAAGAAAAAAAAAGCACAAAATAATCCAATAACCTGATGACAAAAATGTGACAAAAACTATAATTTGGGCTCGAAAGCCCTTAATCTTTCCTTCTGACAAATAGATCACAGAACCATGTTCTGTTTGAAGCCTACCCAAGGTTATGACAATATAATAATAATATTAAGCACTAGATACATACTTAACTTTTATTCTTTATAGAAAATAAGAAGTAGGCAGAGGTTAAAATCACAATACTGAGTCCTTCCTATAAATAGACATAAAGAATGTGAAGGAAAAAAGACACTGTCTTTGCCAGTATTTATCTACCACAACATGAAGCGGGAATACATCTGTTCTAACAATAAGGGCCATGCTGTTCAGCTCTGAATTCAGCTTCCTGATATCCTGCAGCCCAGGGCTGGCAATCCCTTCCTTACCTTGCCCACATGTTGGTGGGGAGCTCAAGGCTTCCTGAGGCTCTTCTTCATCACTGGTCTCCCCGTGGGCATTGCTGTGCTCTGCAGAAAGGAATGAAACGCCCCAGTCATCTCAGTACACAATCAGGGGAGATCATGGTGGGAAAACTCATCGTGAGGACATGGGACACTCAGGTATCTGCTAGGTGGGACTGCCCCTGTCCCAAACCATCTGGTCAATCTCTGGGCTCACCTGGCCTGCAGGTTGACTCACCCCTGTTGCCATCACCAGAGCCTGAGGACCATCCACCATCTTCCTCCTCTCATGGACACCTAATTCTCTCTCTACTTCTTCCCCTTTTTCATTGCCCCTGCTCATTACTTCTGTCTCTGCCCTTATCTCTTGCTGCCAGTGTCTCTAGGTGCGTCTCTTTGTTTGGATGTGTTTCTGTCTCCTTTTCTTCTCTTTCTCTCTTGCACCTCTGACACTCTTTAGTGTCTTTATTGCCTTTCCCTATCTCACTCAGTTTTTTCTTGCTCCCTTTCTTCTATGTTAGGAGAGGTATCCCTAAAATAGTACTGTAGAACCTGATCAGGAGATGGGATAAGGAGCAGACTAGGTCAAAGCAACACCACCAAACACAGGGAAAATTTGTTCTAAGGCCCACGTATAAAAGAAAGATCAGAGCAGTGCAATCACTGAAAATATTTACACTCTCATGAGAGATGAGGCAGAAGCAATAGGCTGGTACCCCATGGTGAATGGGAGACACAGAGGACCACAGGAAGGACAACTGATTTAATCCGAAGGCAACAAAGATCACAGGTCTATGTGGGAAAATAATATGATCCGATTGATACCTTGCAAATAACAATCATGCTAAAGTGGAGGAAATGGACAGACTGGAAACAAGAGGAAATGGTACATTCGTGTTCTCTTTAACGAGGGAGCAAACTCTGGAGAAGGAATTTCTAGTTCCACAGAAGAAGCTGTGAGTTTCAACTTTGGAAGTGTCAGGTCCTGAAAGTCATCTAAATGGGGAGGATTCTGTGATAAATGCCTTCAGGTACACAGACGGATGATCTTGGGAGACAGGTGTCCCTAGCAGGCAGGCACTTGAGACTCATTCTGTTACCTGGGAGAACTGAGACTACCAGGGAGAGAGTTATCGGTCTCTGAGTATGGTCCAGGCCCCACTCTCTACCTGGGGAGATTAAATCTAAAAACTCACTACTGAGATAGACACTTTTTGCTGGAAGATGTTCCTGTCTAGACTCGCACTTCAGCTTTTCAAGATCCCAACTTACTCCTTCCCCAGTTTCCACTCCTTATTGATTTTTAAATTATTTTGATATAACTCTTTCTCTACATAGTGTCCTTTGTGCTTCCTTCCACATTATTATTTTGATATTTATTTGCCAAATTATTATATAATCTCTCTAATTTTCATCTCCATATCTCATTTCTTTGTGAGCTTATACCCTTTCCCGGTTGTTTCTCACTTTCTCCTTTTCTATCTCTGTTTCTCTGAGTCTTTCCTCCGGATGCCTTAAAATTTCCCTTATTTTATCTATTTTCCTCGTTCTCACAGATGCTTCCTCCCAAAGTGACAGAAGTTTTCCCCTTTTCGCTCGGACCACAGCGCCAGACAGCCTTCCCTTATCAGCTCTATGCTAACAATCTCCCGAGGGACCTTCTAAAGTGCAACCCTATCAATCATTCACAAAACTTATTCCCGTATTGCTGGTACTTCCGGAAGTAGGCTGAAAATGATCTTGTTGCCTCAATTGCCATAACCTGTTGGCACTTGGGGTTTTACTGGCATTTAATAAAACCACCCAGGCCCTTCTGCTCTGGTGCCCCAGCCTACCTTTGCTATATGTCTCCCTACGTTCTCCAGGCATGGATACCCTCTCCACTCAGGAGCTCTGCTCACCATTATTCTTAGTCTCTCTTACCGTTTTGAAAAAAAGCAAAACAGAAAATGGACACAGTCTCACCTGTATGTATGTGAATATGAAGAATAGAATGGTAAGGTGGGAGAAAGGCAAGATTTTTTTCCATGCTGATCAGAAAACAAAGGTTTATTGAGGGAGTTGGGAATTTAAATCAGAATTACCTTGTCCCTCTTCTGCTGGTAGGCTGGGCATCTCCTCTAGTTCTCCTTCATTAGTCACTGGGGAAACTCTGGGATCACAGGTCACTGCAGAGAAACAAGGACATAATGGATCAGGGAGGGTGATGGGAGCAGACCTCAGCATGTCCATGCCCACCAGGATGGGAAAGCAAGCCGCCTGCTCCATGCTGCCCCTGGGAACACACTGCCTTGTTCTGCTTTCCGCCATCTTGTTACACCTCCTCGGGCCACTTCTCACCGTCCCACCTGCATTTCTGCCTCCACACATGTCTGTTTCCTAGCTGTGTATCTCTTCCATCGTCTGGGCTTCTACCGCATCTCTTGTTTTTAGGCCTTAGTTTTGTTTTTGTTTTTCAGTGATGATGTATCCATTTTCTCCTGTTACCCTATCTAGCTTTCTTACTCTGGATGTCTTCACCACGCTCTCTGTCAGTATTTTCCTTTCTCTCCCCACCAACATCAGTTTTTCCCTTATTTTTTTAAACTCAAGAAAATTTCTATTTTTTGAGGTGTCACAGGCCCAACAGCAAAAGCACTAGAAACAATTCCCCTATACTAAGGTGGGAGACTGATGATTACATTCTATTAGAGCAAAAGGGGCTGTTAAAAGTACTCTTCTGTTCACAGGCCCTTGAGAATGTTGTCAAATAGTCGAAACATTTGGAAACCCATGCCCAGTTTTTCTTTTTTCTCTTCTTAAAAATTTTTTATTTAAATTCAATTTAATTAACATATACTATATTATTAGTTTCAGAGGTAGGATTCAGTGATTCCGCAGTTGCATACAACAGCCAGGGCTCATTACTTCAAGTGCCCTCCTTAATGCCCATCACATAGTTAGACATTTCTCCAAAGAAGACATACAAATGGCCAATGACTCATGAACAAATGCTCAACATCACTCGGCATCAGGGAAATACAAATCAAAACCACAATGAGATACCACCTCACACCAGTCAGAATGGCTAAAATTAACAACTTAGTTTTTCCTTTAATGAAGATCTTATGTTGGACCTAGGTGCACTCCTTTGGGAGCATGTGGGGCTCCTGGGACTTCTTCTTTCTGTCTGACCACAGGACCCTGCCCTGACTGCCAGGTGGCTTCACACAACTGTTGCCTCCGTGACACACCCACTGCTGCCCACTCTGCCTTTTCTGCTCTGCCCCTGCAAAAATAACCTGCATGCCTTTCTGGGCTTTGTTTCCCCATCCACAAAAGAGAGGTTACAACAGTTTACATGCCTGTATCTTAAGGTTTTTTGAAGATAAAAGGAAGTCTCCCACAACCCAATAATCTGATGGAAACTGTCAGAAACTTTGCACACCTTGTCTCCCGCACTTTGTTCTCTTCCTCATCTTAATCCTTGCCATGTGTGTCTGCCTCTTCTGTTTCTACCTTTGTATCTCGCTCTTGGGATCTCTTGGCACTCCTCTTTGTCTTGATTTGTTTCTTTCCCCACGTCTGTTCCCACCTCCTTTTTTCCCCCTCATGCTTCCCTGCTGATCTGATTTCTTCTCCCCGACTCCTGTCTTGTTTTCTAGGGGTCAGAAAAGGCATCTGTGAGATAGTATCTAATATCTGCATGATTTCACCAGATTAGTGAGCAAGTGGGCAAGAAAACAGGGCCAAGCATGTGCCAAAGCTCAGGTGAGAAAGAGTAATCAGATAATTACAATTACTGAACAAATTTTACACAAATTTTTGAGGTAATTGCGGACAGACATGAGGCTGGAGCCATGGGGAGGAAAGTGGATTTAATCCTTCTGACAACAAGAAGTTGTCAACTTAATATAAGAAAGTAGGATAAACCAACCTGCATTTTCAGAGTCCTCTAGCTGACCTGGAGAGATTGGGTGTGATGGGAACATGACTGGGGGGAAGATATGAGACTGGAGGCTGTTGCTCTGGTTCCAGGGAGAAGAGACATCTGACCAGAGTGTTTGTGTTGGGTATGGAGAAGAATGGACAGGCAAGAGACAAGTTCGATACATAGCTGACTAATCTGGATGACTGATGGGCTATGTGAGTTGAGGGAGGGGGATGAGTCACTGATGACCCCTAAATTTCTGCCTGCGGAATGGAACAATGGTGTTCTGTACGGAGATAGGGAATACCGGGAAAGGAGCAGATCTGGTGTCAAGAAGCATGGTATGTGCAATTGTGGGTATCTTATATTGAGGTGCCTGAAAAACATCCAAATGGAGTTGTCCGTTTAGGCCCTCTGCACAACTGTATTCAGGCCCTCAGATGAATGAGGTTAAAAGACAGGTCTGTGCCAGACAGGTGTTTGGGGATCATAAGTTATAGATGGGAGCAGACACCGCCTCTGAGAATGTTACAGGTGCCATGTTGATAACTGGGGGACATCATAACTTGAAAACCCATGGCTGACATGCTCCACCCCTAGTGGCAGGCTTATTTCTGACGAATAACTCTTCTCTCAATTCCTCCAATGTCCCAAACTGTCTTCTCTATCCCTTGTACAGTGTTCATCTCTGCTGAATTTTCACTCATCTCTTTTTTCTCGGTTTATAACTTTTGTGCCCCTCCCCCCCCTTTTTTTCCTTTCTTGTCCCCCCCCCCCCCCCCCCCGCTGCATTTCTCACTTAACATCATGTTCTCTACCTGTCTAAGATGATGGAGTTTATCTCCTTTCTGCCATGGTGCTCATTTCCCTGCTTCTATCTGTCCTCTCTAGTTCTTAACTTTCTGTTTCTCATTTTTCAACCTAAGAATTAAAACTGAAAATTTAAATTTCAGACTTTCTGCGTATTTCGTCCACATCCATATTCCTTCCCCATATCATCAATGTTCTGGACTGTGGCCATTGGCAAATGAGCAAGGATCCTTCCCTTTGCCAGGTCCATTTCAAAACTCTTTCACGTGAGTTCTCTGTGTTGCAATTATACCCATTATGCCCATGTTCCTGGCACAACCGCAGGGAAAATAGGTTGGAAATTATCTCCCCTCCCTGATAGCATGGTTATATTTAGACTCCATGTCTATTTAAGTAGAATTGTCAATCACCTTGGTCTCTCTTCATTTCATGACTCCATCTATATTTTTCGTTCTTCTCTTTGTCTGTGTTCTATACCCAGGGAAAACCCAACCAGTCTGAGATCATCCTTCACTGCTTGTGTCTCTCAAGGGAAGCAATCAGAAGCTGGGCATAGTTTGTCTTTGTGAATATGTGAGGATGGAGGTATGGATGGATGGATGGAAGGATGGATGGATGGATAGATGGATGGATGGATGGACAGATGGAAGGGGAATAGGGAAGGGATGGAAGAAGGTGTCCCTCTATATTCATAGGAAAACAAAGTTTTAATTAGATAACAGGTCATTTGAATCCTAATTACCTTCTCTATCATAAGGTAGTAATCTGGGCATTTCTTCTGATTGTTCTCTGTCATCCCTTTGTAGAACTACCTGTTCACAGGACACTGAAGAGAGAAACAGAAACATGATAGACAGTTAGTTGGCCTGGACTCTGCCTGGATGTGGCCAACGCTCAGAGAGCATTGGAGCTTGATGTTCAGAGTACAGGGGAACTGCTCCTCAGGAAGAAAAGTATGTTTATACCCACTGAACTTGCTCTGCCTTCTTTAGCACCTTGTTTCCTTCCCTCTCCTTCCTTCTTCTCCCTCGAACCCTGTCTCCACACGTTGCTGCACCTGCACCATGAAGCTGTGGGTCTCTTTGACCATGACTTACTCTCCCTGACTTCTGCCATCTGTTTGCATTTGGCTCTTTTTGCTCCTCCAGGAAGTTCTTCATCTCTTTGCTCCATTATCTCCCTATTTATTCTCTTACCTCACTTTCTCTCTGCTATACTTAGTATTTCATTAGTCCTATGCAATTCGTGGGAAGTAAGTTTAAGATTATCTCTCCCCTCCCAAACCCCAACCTGGTGGTGTTATAGTCCATATACATTTAGATAAAATTGGGTCCACTTAGCCAATTCCATTGGTGCCCCCAGTCTACATTCTTATTATTCTGTGCCCTTCAGTTCTTCACCCTAGAGCCCTTCCATTAAGGTGCTTAGCCTCCTTTCCCCCCCTGCCTCCCACACACCTGAGGAAAGCAACCAGAGGCTGAGTCAAAGTGTGTATTTGTGTTTGGGGGATGGGAAGAAACTGTCCCTTGCATACAGTCAGACAAACAAATTTAATGAAGTAATTGGTCATTTAAATCATAATTACCTCCCCCGTCGCCTGGTGGCAGTTCGGGTGTCTCTTCAAAATCGCCTCCATTCGTACTTTGGAGAGCTTTGTGCTCACAGGAAACTGAAGGAAAAGGCAGAAATGACCAACCAGACATAGCGATAAGGGAACAGACCTCAGGAACCTCATGCTGAATTCAGTGCTCAGGTGAGCTTCTCCTTGGGAAAAAGGACCTTGCCCAAGACCTACCAGAGCCTCCCTCTGTCTCTTCTTCTTCTGTTATCCTTCACACACCTCCTTTCTCCATCTCATTGTTCTGTCACCACACACTGTTGCTTCTATACCGGGAAGGACTGGACATTTCCAGGAATCCCTGGGCTTCCCTCTTGGGCTTTTTCTCCTCCATGGCTCTTCCTCGCTCTCTGTCAGTTTTCCTACTTCCTGCCTCTGATCTCTTGCATTCCACATGGTAAGTCCCAATCCTACCAGCTCTGTCTGCCTTTCCCTGTTCTCACTACTGAAATATATTTGTTGGATGAGGGCCTTCTTGCACTGGGCCCTGATCTACTGGCCTGGGTACCTGAACACCCCTTGGGTTCCCCGGTGTGAACTCTGCCTCAGTGATCCTGGCCACCCTGACCCTCGGCCAGCCCCACACGACCATCACCATGGTCCCTCCATTTACGTAACTACTTTGACCTGGTAAAAGACCCCTATACACTTCAGTGCTTCTATTTCCTTATCTATAAAATAGGAAGAAGCAACAGTTTGTCTCCCTAAATGCCTAAGTTTGTGGAGATGAAATGACATCTTCTTTGCCAAAATTCTTTGAGAAATCACAGTGACATAATAAAAACCATTTGACAAAAATTATAATTTAGAGTGGAGAGCAGTTGATCTGAAGTATGACCATGTTTCTCTTGGGCTTCTTCCAAAATTAGACACAAAATAATAACATTATCAATAATTAGGATAATGCTTAGTTTTTATTCTCTGGAGAAGCTAAAGGGTCGGTGGGAATAAATCCAAGTCTTTACTATGAATAGGTGTGAAAGACATCCCCCTTCTTCAGCATATCTCTCCCCAAATGTGCACCTGGGAACATTTATGTGATTCATGGGATTCCAGAACACACTGAATCTTTTCACTGTGGAGTGTGCTCAGAGTAGAATGCACCAGGAAACACTAGCTTGAAATTCAGCTGCCTGAATTTCATGATATTCCATGCTATCATGCAGCTCAACACTGGCAACCTCCCCCCTTCTTTGCTGGGCTCACATCTCGGTGAGGAGCACAGGCTTCCTGAGGCTCTTCATCATCACTGGTCTCCCAACAGGCCTTTGCTATCCTCTGCAGAAAGGAATGAAATCTCACAGAGAGCTCAATTTATGACCAAGGAGATAGCATAGCAAGAAAATAAGAAAAACCAAGAAAGCCTGAGAAACTGGAATGCCCCATTCCCCAAGACAACCTGACCTGAGGTTATGTTCACTTCAGTAGCTTTCCCTAGAGGCTGAGAATCACTCACCCATCATGGGAACATCTTCCTCTTCTTACTTACACATCATCCTTTTTCTAGTCTTTCCTTTTCTGTTTGATTCTGTAAATCTAATTTCTCCCCGCCTCAGTTTCTGCTGTTGTCTCTTGGAGCTTCTCCTTCTCTTGGTGCGTTTCCTCTCTTGTTCTCCGTTCCTGCGACTTTCCGCCTTGTTTTCCCTGACACTGCCCTTCCTCCTCTATCCTTTGTCTCCTAGTTATTCCTGTCTAGCTTTCTCTAAAGAAAGGCCTCCCCGAGGTGGTTTGTGTTAAATAGGATTTAACCAGAATGGAGGAATGAAAGTAGAGGGCAGTGGAGCAGAAAGACAGTTCTAAATAAGGCACATGAAAAGATTCAGATGTGAAGGAGATATTTAACAATTAAAATCACTGGGGAAGAAATTCTCTTCTTTCGTGAATTAATAGTGTTAGCGGGCAGGTGATGAGGCTGAGGAAGTAGGCAGGTGGCTTATTGTTGGGGCCACCCTGGACCCCACTGAAAGAAACTTTTATTTAATCCTTGGTGTATTAAGAAGTAGGGAATACTTCTTATTGTTCCTAAGTGGGAAAATAATACAATCTAATTTTTATTTTCAAATATCCCCTTTAACTGAAGTGCAAATAATGCACTTAATGGGAGTAAGTTTAGAGGGAGGAGGGAGGCAGAAGGCGGCCGCTGAGAACCATGATAGTGACAGAGACATGGATTAGAGACTCGACTCTGGGGGCAGGACAGATGGACAGGTGGGAGATATTCTGAAGGAGAAATGACCACGTTGGAGGAGAGACAGGCATGTAATTGAAGGCCAGAGGAGTCATGGGCAACTTCTACGTTTCCAACTTGAAAAAAACATGGATGAGCAGTGATCTATCATTGAGGGAAAGAACACCGAGGGGTTAGATCTAGCTTGAACGGTGAAGAATGAACAATGCTCTCAGTTCAGGGTGTGCCAAGGTTAAGGCTCTTGGAAGAACTCCAGTGTAGTTATCTATCCAACCCCTGCCTTCAGGTCCATGGGTAAATGAGCTCTGAAGATGATCTGGGGTGGAGATTTGGTCTTGGGAATCACTGGAGTATTGGGGGAGAGGCCTATTGCAATCTGACATCTTGTAAGTGCCGCTTTGATAACTAGGAACAGTTTCATATGGAAACTCACACTAATGTTGTCAGCCCTTGTGCCCAAAGGTGCTTCTATCCAGTGCTCTGGCCCCGAACCTGCAGCATCCCGACCTGTTCCTCTGCCCCTGGTCCCCCATTTGCCCTTCCCCTAGTTTCCATCTGTTCTGCTTCTCTCCGTAGTTTGCCTTTGCACCTCCCCGGCTTTCCCCACATCCTAGTATTTATTTTCCACTCCTCATTGCTCTTTCTGTATATTTTTCTCTCAATTTTTACCTCTGATCCTTGAGCCATTTTTCAGTTTATCTCCTCTCTGCTACGTCTCCCACTTCTTCCCTGTCCATCACTGTTTCTCCCACTTTACCTTGACCTTCTGTCTCTCTGAGCGCTGGTGTCCTCCTGATTCCCCTCTCTCGCTGTCTCCAGCACTCAGGGCTTTGACTACAGTACGAGGGACCTCCCGCTGGCCAGCTACGGGGGGACAGTCTCCCACGTGGACACACATGGCATGCTACCTCCAAATTCCTTTCAACTGGTCTCTGAAGTTAAGTGAAAATTGTCCCCCTTCCCCACCCTTGAGGGTAGGAGTTTATGTTCCTTTTGGAAAACTGGATCCATTTGTGTGATTTGTCCTATATTACCCCTAGCTCTCTTTTCCTCTTCCCGTTTCTATATTCTCCAACAATGAGCACTCTCTCTACTGAGGAGCTCAGACTCCTTTTCTCATAGGCTCTGTCACATCTGTGGGCAGGTAAGGGCAGATAGAAGGAAGGACTAGCAGAAGCCTGGGATCAGAGACAAAATGCGAGTTTTGCTCCCGCAGAGACAAGAAAACAAAGATTTAATACAGAATTGTAAGTTGTATGATAGTTACCTGGTCCCTCATAAGGCAGTAAGCTGGGTGTCTCTTCCAGTGTTCTGACACTATTCATTTGGAGACGTGAGGGTTCACAGGACTCTGAAAAGGGGACAAGAAAATGGCAGGACTCAGACAGTGACCAGAGAAGAGACCTCTGTGTGCTGAAGCTGAACTTTGCTGTCCAAGCTCCAAGGACCCCAGCTGGGGCTCACCAAAGCCTTGCTCACCTCTTTTTCATTGTGATGCAGCTAACTGAAAGGTAAAACAGCTGTTTTCCTAATGAAGCAGTGGTGCTTACTAGCCATTTTCAACACTTGGAACATTTCCACCATGGCAGACAGTTCCCATGTGCTGATTTCAAGTCTGTTTCTGCCCACTGTAAGCGATCACTCTTCTGATGTTTATCACCATTAATTAAGCCCTTCCTTTCTGGAACTGTACTCGTCTGTCCTGACGCTCACATAAATAGGGTCACACAGCATGTACTCAATTGTGATTGGCTTCTTTTGCTCAGTGTACGTCGGACTCTTGAACAACACTCACAACAACCTTATTTTAGATATATAGATTTATGGATGTAGAGATTGACAGTTTCAATTTACACACCGGAACACAGAAAGTAAGTAAATTGCCGAGGTAGAGCCAGATGTGAAGCCCGGCAGTGAGGTCTCAGCATGTTTGCCCTTCACTTGTGTGTGGGAGAAGGTTCGAGTCCTAGACCAGTCATGTGACCTTGCACAAATCACTAACTATCCTCACGCCTCCGTTTCTTCCCTTGGAAAGTGGGAATAACAAACCCTCATAATAGGGTTATAATGAGGAGGACTTGTAAAGGGTATCTGGGTTAGGATAACTTAGCAAGAAATCATAATTTTCAGCATTAATGCTGTAGGCATTATAATTTAATGATCAGTTATTAGTGATAATATGAGCAAAAGGATGATCGAAAAGCTGGAAACAGTGGCTATTGGTTACGAGGGTACATAGTTCATTTATGAGCAATAGAAAAGTTGCTTCACGGGAAGGGCTGACCTTACACCCAGCGGTCTGCGAAAGGTTGGTGTTGCTACTGTTGTCGCTGTTGTGATTACTGCCCTTTATTCTCTTCTCCCCCTTACACTCTTTTCCATTTTCCTCTCTTTCTTTTTTTTAAGTAGGCTCCATGCCTAGCACGGAGCCCAGTGCGGGGCTTGACCTCACGACCCTGAGATCAAGACCTGAGCTGAGATCAAGAGTCAGATGCTTAGCCGACTGAGCCACCCTGGTGCCCCTCTCTTTCTTTCTACCCAGCGCCACTCCTTCCATGTTCTCTTCTGCACACAATTACTACTCTATCTCCCTCTCTTTTCTCTTACTATGGGAAGCATTTGCAGCAGTTCCTTCTTGGCTTTCTCTTTGGGTCTGCCACCTGGTGCCAAACCTCATCCCTTCCCAGATCCACTGAATTCCTAACTCACAGTTACCACTGTCAGCCCTTCCCCTTAATTGTGCCTCATGGTCACAGTAAGATCTGCTCTTGTGGGTTCCTGTTCTATCTTCTGAGTGGTCCTATCTGCCTGGCAGCATTTTTGGATTCCACAACGGGTTGGTTAGTTAGAATCCCATACAACCCACCACCGGCCTGGCTCCCCGTCGCATCCCCACTGTCTCCTTCTGCACCCCTCCCCAGGGGGCACTCTCCACCCAGGAGCTCGGCCCCCCTGATCTCTCCTCGCCTTTCCTCTCAGCAGATGAGAGAACAAGTCTCTGTGGAGTCACAGGTACCTAGCTCACGGGGTATTTGTAAGTGGAGCATCTCCTTTGTCTCTTCTTCATTAATGGCTTCATAATGGAAGTTGTCATAAATCACTGGGAAGAGGAAGGAAAGGTAGTTAGAGACCTCTGGCAGTGACCAGGAGCTTATTCTCACAACTATATACCTGGCTCACCCCTGACTCCGGCAGTTGAGCGGGAGCCTTCCAGCCCTCAGGGAACCCTGGGCTTCAGCATGTCTCATGGGACCAGAGACTGATGCTGCCATACATCTCACAAGGTTTAAGAAAGGATGGACGGTAGAAAAGTTGTAAATAGTTCAATGAACTCTTTAGAACAATGAAAGCTAATTTAAAATAAGTAATATATATGGAATGTATTTTGTAAATTCTACATGCAACTAGGAATAGAGAAGAAGCAGAGGGATTTCATCAGGAGAAAAGTAAGTTTATAGAGAAATAGACTTATATAAAAAAGAGAGCCCCAACATCTTTTAAGGATGGAGGTTTTAAAGGAAATAAACAGAGAAGCAAAGAAACGAGAGAGAGAGAAGAAAGAGAAAAAGAAAGAGAGAGAGAGAGAGAAAAAGAGGAAAGAAAGAAGGAAGGAGGGAGGGAGGAAGGGGACCTTAGATTAGGGAAGGAAGATGATCTGGTTACAAAAAGCCTAACAGTGAAGAGGAACTTGCATTCCCCTGGGGTGGGACGGGTGGGGAGAGATACAGGAAACAACAACACAAAGACACGCTGTAAGGCACAAACAAGAAGTGAATCTCGTCCGAAAGACCCAACTGAAAGTGAATATCATAGCTGTCACCAGGGACCCAGGATGTGGTAACAAGAAGTGCAGGAAAGCAGCCCAGGGCACCCCGCTTCACAGCTGCGTTGCAAGGCAACACAACCGAAGACAGATGGAAAAGCAAGACTCACAAAACATGAGGGAAAAAAATCCAAGAAATAGAGAACGACGCTGAGCAAGAAAGACCGATGATGGGAGCACACCTCCTGGAGGCAGCACCTACTAAAGGGTGAGGGCAGTAGGGCAGGCGTGAAGGTAGAAAGGCTCTCTTGGCACAAGAGATGCTTCTGCCATCCCCAGGACACACTGACTTCTTGTCCAGGCAAACTCTGGAGGAGGGCATCGGGATAAATGCTGGGTGAGTCAGAGGTCTTGAGAACACAGGGGGTGGCCCAAGTGCAGGTGTCTCTCCGCAGGTCGCACAGCCCTCCTACCAGCTTCTTGGCTTTGGACCACTGACCCCGGCTCCCTTGGACAGCAGGGTCTAGGAAGCACCAGCAACAACCTCTCAGTGGGTGTCGGGGGGTGCGGTGAGCCTCAGCATGGGGAGCCCCAGAAACTAACACATTTGGTGTGGGTGCCAGGGTCCAAGGAAGGGGATCCCCACAGTCCATGGGGAGGACTAGAGCCTCGGAGATGTGGGCAGTAATGATAACTGCCATTCCTTCATACCCATGACCTTGGGCCATCCTGGTTCCACAGATAATACTGACTTAAAATTTATGACTGGTATTTGATTTCCTTTATTCCTTTTTCTGACTTGGATATATCATAGCATGGAAATATTATAGCTTTTCTTTTAATCAAGGTATGGTTTTCACAAATCGGCACATCCCATTCTTTACATTGACTTCTTTCACTTTTTCTCTGCTTAAAAATCCTTCATTATCTCCTTATTTCCCAAACAGTAAACTTCAAATTTCTTGGCACTGGGTGTCAGACCCTCAAAACTCCCCAAGAACTTCCCTTCCCAGAATTAGCTTCCAAACACTCCCTCCCGGGCTGTATTTTCAGCCACACTTTTCTGCCAGCCCCCTGGTCCTTTCCCAGCTGCTGCTCCCCCAGTCCTCTCTAGTGACTTCTCCACTGTTTGTCTGGAGAAGTGAGTTGGCGCACAACTGCACCAAATGACACATTTTCTAAGATAAAGAAAATCTTTTTATCTTTGAACATGACTACAGGTAACAGAGAGGCTTCCTCCCCTTTCCTACGAAAGCACATAATTCATGCCTTCCCCCCACCCCAAAAAAAGTAGAGACTCAAATCCTACATTTCTTAGCACCAAATTCAGGTCCTGGCCGAGCAATCATTTGTGGGGTTACTCAGCTAAACGTCTGTCACCCCCACTGGTTGTAAGTTCCATGAGGACACAGGTCATGTGCATTTTCTTCACCACTGTATTCTGTCCGTGCCTGCCGTGGAGCAGTCGCTCAATAAAATGACTGTCAAATATTAATGAAGATTGAATGAATGAATCGATTAATGAGATGGGCTCGAATCCCCCAAAGTTGTTGAAAGCTATAATTACCATTTTGGAAGCTTCTGCAAATCTCAAGTAAGTCAGGATAGGCCTTTAGGTTAAGATTGCTGAACAGTGCATCCAGAACTGTCTTGTCAAATGTCTTCTCCAGTTCACTGAGCACATCATAGACCACTCTTTCCACTGGGACATGATTTCTACAAGCTTCTTGAAAATGCTTAAAAACAGTGAATGGAGAATTATGTAGCTATGGATTTACAGGTTATAGAAGATACAGATCACAACCCAGACCATCTGTTCTCTTGTGAAATGTTAGAATGTCACACATGTTTGGATGACTTCTTAAATATCCCCCATCACAAAAATAGACTCTTATTTGAACCTCTCTGACATTGCTGCACACTTGAGGGAGGAATTTTGAAGAATAAATGTGGCTTCAAAGTCGAATGATTGTGGGGGCTTTAAAGAGCCTGGCCGGGATGCTTCAAGAGTGGCCCTGACTGGTAATGAGAGGCCATTCTGTTGACCGGACAGTAACCACTGCCCTCCCCCCAGGACCGACCTGGCCTGAAGGGCTCCAGGAATTCAGGTGACCACTCTCCCCTGCAATGAACGTGGCCAAAGGGCAAAGAAAATCCATAAAGACAAAGAGAAGGCTTGTCTTCAGTGTCCCCAGGAAGACCCATCATTAACCTTCCCCTGTGTTCTAGGGCTCCAGAACTGTCTAAGGAGCAAGAAATGATTGGGACAGAGAGCAGCAAGCATTTGCCTCTGGATTTATCCTAACATGACCCAACTTGCCTGTGAGTTTCAATCATCTCAGGTTCAGGTGTGTCAAATAAGAGGGCTTTGTAACGAAACGTTGCCCAGTTCACTCATTTGCCTTTAGTTACTGTTCCCCGACTGTATAAATGTACCTAAGATGCACTGTAGCTATGTAGCAACCCCAGTCCCTATCCAGCTACATCTCCACTGCCATGCCCTTCCCCCCACATTTCCTACAGAAGAAGGAATGTTTTCTGTGATGCTGTTTCTCCTGTCACCTCCTAACTTATAGGATGGTGGCAGTCTCCACCCACAGAAGGCCCCTGGGCCGATTCATTGCACCCTGCAGTCTGGCATAGCATCGGTGGAGCTGGGTATCATAAGGAAAGTCTCTTCACTTACTTGATACTTGTGCTCGGGGATAAAGCCACGGTCTCGGAGGCCCATAAGGAGAGGAAATGGCTTATTTATTGCACTTGCGATCTCCACCTTATTCTCTTTGAAGAGCTTAAAAATAAACTCATAGAAAACCTGCTCCTCTGGGGTATGGTCTTCTGGGTTCTGGTTCCCTGTGAACATCCTGAGAAACAAAGACATAATACAAAAACTGAGTTTCCAAGAGGCCTCCCTCTCCCACTCCCCCTGCTTGTGTTCCCTCCCCCGCTGTGTCTTTCTCTGTCAAATAAATAAATAAAATCTTAAAAAAAAAAAAAAAGACTGACGTCTCCATGTAGGAAAAAATTCACGAATAGGCCACTTTCAGACTGGAACTGCACCATCAGCTCTGTGGGGCTCCAGCCTGCCAACCCACATGGCAGATTTTGGAATTGCCAGGATCCATATTCATGTGAGCTAATTTCTTTTTTTTTTTTTTTAAGATTTTATTTATTTATTTGAGAAAGAGATAGCAAGAGAAAGCATGAGCTGGGGGTACAGGGAGAAGCAGGCTCCCTTGCTGAGCAGGGAGCCCAACACGGGGCTCCATCCCAGGACCCTGGGATCATGACCTGAGCCCAAGGCAGACGCTTAACCAGCTGAGCCACCCAGGCGCCCTCAAGCTAATTCCTTATAATAAATCTCTTTTACACACACACACACACACACACACACGCGCGCGCGCGCGCGCGCGCGTTTTGTCTTTTCTGTTTCTCTGGAGAACCCTGACTAACACAGACTGTTTTCAAAAGAAGTTCACAGACAAAAAAAATAAAAACCAAATAAGATAATATTACAGAATCTACCACTGAACAGCAAGGTTTTTTATAAACAAGGTATGCCTGATTTTTTTTGCCTTTTTCCATGTATCATTGTATTTATAATGTGTCCATACTGATATTTTTAAGTCAAATCAGTGCACTTTAATTGCTGTGTAATAATATTTTATATAAAGATAGACAATATTTACCTATTAATCCTTTACTGGTAAATGTTTAGGTCTATTCCAATTTTTTGTTATTATGAGCAGTATTTTGGGGAACATCCTTGTTTATATCTCCTTATGTGCCTTATGTGCACATAACAAGAATTTCTTTAGCTTATGTACCTAGAAGTGAATTGTAGAGTAATTGGGTATACTACCTTCAAACTTGCAAGTTGCTAAGTTCTTTTTCAAAATGATTGATTAGTTTACAGTCCTGCCAAGATTTCACGAGAGTTTTTCTCTGTACCTTTGTAGACCGTAAGTATTGTCATACTTCAAAATTTCAGTCACTATGGCTGTAAAGTCACTTAATTTTGTTTTCGCCTATAATTAGGAAGTATTTTCTGCAGTTAAAAGAATACACGTAGCGCATATGATCTGGCATCAAGGCAGAAAAGGTCTCTCGAACTGTGCCCCAGGGTTCTTTCCCTTTATCCTGTTCTGTCTGGTGTGTTTCTTGAGATTCCATTGTATATTACATGATTAAAATTACTGACCGTTGGGGCACCTGGGTGGCTCAGTCGGTTAAGCAGCCAACTCTTGATTTCGACTAAGATCATAATCTTCGGGTGGTGAGATCAAGCCCCACGTCAAGCTCCAGGCTTAGTGTGGGGTCTACTTGTTCCTCTCCTTCTGCTCCTCCCTCTGCTCATGTTCTCTCTCTCTCAAAATCACGGACTTAGATGAAACCATGTAATGAATGCTATTCTGCTACACAGTATCCTGTAAGCAGAATTCTAAACTGAATATTCTCTGCCTAGAAAAAAATCCTACTCTTTTTCAAGAATAGCTTGGTTATCACCTCTAAGAACTTTTCCTCACATTCTCCTGTCTAACATGTTCCCTAGTCTGTTTGCCTCTATTAGACAGAGCAAGATCATTTTTGGTTATTCCAGATTGTTCATTGACCCCACTGTGTGGTATCATAAACAAGTACAGTAAGGGATAGTTTCGCAAAAGCCTGTTCAATTTGCCCATTTCATAATGAGTGTGCACAAAGGCAAGTGCAGGCTCTGGATGCAGATTACTTGAGGACAAATCCTGGCTGTGCTTCTTACTTGCACTAACCTTGGCCAACTTTCTGAGATTCAGTTGCCTGATGTGACACAGGAGTAGTAATAGTATCCATTTATAGGATTTGGGGAAGCTTGAATAAGACATGTGTGTTGAGTGTGTAGAGCAACTGAGCAGCAAATCTTCTTAGTGAACAACAAATAGAAGAAATCTCAAGGAAGGTGTGCAAGAGGTAGATCTCTCGCACCCATCTGCAACTGCAGGGGCAAGAATCGCATACGACATGGTAAAGTTAGGTCAAAGATGCCCCTCCCGTAAGGTTTCAATTAACAGTCACAAGAATATACAAGTTTTTCTCTGGTCTAATATAGAGACTTGTGTGTATATTCAAAAGTATGGCTCGTTGTCCTGTATCTAAACCTGCCCATGTAAGTGTTATCTATACATGGAGACCTGTAAGACCCCTGGATTCCAAACATTACGGTCAAGCCTGGGAAAAGTAATTTTTAAATGCAAAAGGCTTTGTAATTCTGATTCTTACTCGATGAATGATTCCCCTGGCTGATAATGTCTTGATAAACTTCTCTGTAATTCTAAAAGTTGTAAACACTTGTAAGATTTTTCTATCCCATATTAAGAGAGTCATTAGGACTTCCCATTATACATATGCATTAGAACAGAATGAAACCCATTCCTTCCCTGAATTCCTTTAAAAAAGAAAAAGACTTCTGGTTAAAGATAGTTGACCCAAGACAAATGCTTTGCTCCCCTCAGACTAGAGGGCTCCCTAAAATGAGAGTAAAGGAATTAAAGGCACTATAACTGAGGAAAGGGCGTTAGGTGAGAAACTGAAACCAAAGTCTGAAAGAGCAAAAGTGGTTTGAGTGCTAACTGCTATCGCTGGTGGCCAAGGATCCCAGGGGCGAGGAAAGGGTCCAGAATGTCCTGCAGCCCCTGAGAGGCAGAGGGGCCTGGGAGGGAGACACAAGCATAAGCCAGCAGAATTAATTGAAAGGCAAAATACTAAATGATCTGCTCCCCTCTGATGCCCCCATGCAGCACACCCACATCCAGGCAAGAGACTAGAGGTTGCTTCTTAAGAAAAATATAGATGACTCAGGAAAAAAAAAAAAGGCCTTCACCCTCAGGCATTTGGGATTCACGCAGCCAAGACCACAGGTTTTCAAGCCCATCTCATTAAATGGAGTTGAAAACTAGCTCTTGAGTGCCTCGCCTTTAAGTAGGAACAAACAAGAGGCCACACGCGTTTGTGCAAACCTATCACAGGAAGGAGTAGAACCCACATGAGCAAAGAACAAAAATCACCCCAGCATACATGGAAATAGTGCTGGGGACAGAAAAGAGTTTCCAAAAAACAAATATATTGTCATACGGATAGGAGAATATATTTTGTCCAGGATGACATGAAGAAAAGATCAGATAATAAGACAGCAGGTCTGGAAATTTGAAAGGGTTGCTAAAATTAAAAAAGAAAAGAAAAAAGGTAGTTAAAATGGTTGTAAATAAGAAGAGAATTTTCCCAGAACATAGCAGCTGTAAAAGGGTGGGGGGACCAACCAACTAAACTTAAAACCATAAATGTCTAAAACAGTTATGCAAATCTATAGATTCAGAGGTAAAAGGAAATGACTAAAAAATATACATCCTGTTCAGTTATTCATGTGTGAAGGCAAGATACTTGTGCAAGGTGCACTGTGCTGAGCAGAGCATAATGTACACCCGAAACTAATGTAACATCATGTGTCAACCAAACTTCAATTAAAACAAATCGTTGTGCAAGGGCTCAGAAAATATTTCACTCCTGCACCATCTGTGTTGGTCACACAATTTTCATTAATTTTTTTTAAGATTTTATTTATTTATTTGAGAGACAGAGCACAAGCGGGGGGGAGGGGCAGAGGGAGAGGGACAAGCAGACTCCCCACTAAGGCAGGGCTCCACGCAGGGCTCAATCCCAGGACCCTGAGATCATGACCTGAGCCCAAGGCAGACGCTTAATGTCTGAGCCACCCAGGCGTCCCGGTCACACAACTTTCAATGCCATGTTCTTTACTTCTGGGCAAAGGCAAGATTGCATCTCCCTGCTTCCTTGGACTGATAGGTATCACTTTGGCAGAGTTCCACGCTAACCCCTGATTAGCCTTGCTCACTTCTCCTCTGTTACAGTGGCTGTCACTTCAGATGTCATTTCAGATGGCAGCTACTCCTCAGCCAAAGACAGAGTCCAAAGTGAGGGTTCCCTGAAGCAGAGGCCAGTGACCCACTGAGATTTTGGAATCATTGTTGCAATAGAATAATCTATTCCATTCTTACTGACACACTCTCTAGGACAAATTATTTGATGATGTACTACAATAAAAGAATTAAGAAATCAAAGTTAATTAAGAAAACAAAACCAGCAAAATTTTGTTATAAAAGAAGTGGAAGGCATCACCAAAACCCGTTAAAATAGTGATGCCTAAAACCCATAAATTTTATTTGAAAACAAAAGTACATCTCAAAAATTATTTTTTTAATTTTTAAAAGATTTTATTTATTTATTTGAGAAAGAGAGATCACAGGGGGACAAGGAGAAACAGACTCCCCACTGAACAGAGAGCCCGATGCGGGGCTCCTTCCCAGGACCCTGAGATCATGACCTGAGCCAGGGCAGAAGCTCAACTGACCGAGCCACCCAGGTGCCCCTCAAAAATTATTTTAAAATCGTGATTCTCAAAGTATGGTCCAGGAACCCCTGGGATTATGTAAGACCCTTTCAGGTATGACCAGCGTCGAAACAGTTTTCATAATAGTACTAAGATATTATTAACCCTTTTTGTCTCTTGTCCTGTCACACATGTACAGTGGAATTCCCCAGGGAATACATGTTCTGTGGTATCACAAAAGATTGAATGCAGAGCTGATAGGAGAATCCAGCTGTCTTCTACTGAGCCAACTATTAAAGAGATCTGTGAAAATATAAAGCATTGCTAATCTTCTTACTAATTTACTTTCTTTTAGAAAACAGTTATTTTTCATAAAATATGTCATTTATATTAGCAGGTAACGAGTTCATTATTATTTTTTTAATGAACAAATAAATATTTAAGTGCTCAAGGTTTTAATTCCTAATATGGCAAATATCC